GACATCTGGCAGTGTATATAATATCCGTAGACTGCTTTCTCAAACAAAAGTCTCTTCCTCATTGGTGAGGGAGCTGCTCTACGCGGATGACTGTGACATCGTTGCACATTCTGAAGATGAGCTGCAATGCTTTATGAACCATTTTGTATCTGCATGTAACTCATTCGGTTTAAGGATCAATCAAAAAAAGACAGTCGTCATGTATGATCCAGCACCCGGATCACCCTATATGGAACCAACTATATTCGTTGAAGGAAATAAATTAGACGCAGTACATTCTTTTGTATATCTTGGCAGTACCCTCTCTGAAGGATGCAGCCTCAACAGAGAAATTTCTTTCCGCATTGAAAGGGCTTCTTGGTCTTTTTCAGCACTTAAAAAACGTGTGTGTTTCCAGCATGGTATCAAGTTACATACAAAAATCATTGTGTACAAAGTATGTGTTTTGACGGCCCTCCTGGATGCAAGCGAAATATGGACACTTTATGTTGTGGTAGGATCCACCTAATTTGCATAGTGGAGTAACCATGGTTGGTACCGGGAAGAGAGGGGATTCAATCCAGAGACTCTGCCTGACTGCGACTAATAAACATTCTCCAGGAACGGTCTTCCCAGGAATATACAAAAGACTATATGTAAATATTGTGTACACTTTCTTGTTTCAATACATTTTGTTCTAAGTACATTTTGTGTTGTATTATTATTCCATGCATTAGTCAAGTTTCAACACTTTATAAACATAAACTAAAACATCTTGAGGGCTTCCATCAAAGGTGTCTGAAACAGATACTTCATATCACACGGCAGTCCCATGTCTCAGATACAGAAGTATTAGAGAAAGCAGGGCTACCAAGCATTCAGTCGATGGTAATGAAAAATTGTCTCCGATGGGTCGGACACATTGCACGTATGGATGACAGTCGTCTACCAAAACGGCTGTTCTATGGTGAAATGTGGGAAGGAAAGAGAAATGCATCAAAGCCGAAGAAGAGATTTAAGGACACAATAAAATCTTATCTGAAAAATGGCTTTGGATAGAAGTAAGTGGCGGAAACTAATTCACGAAGGCATTGAGTCCTTTGAGAATAGTCGTATGCAGTACAGTGCCTACAAACGTCTGATTCGTAAAGGCGAATAGGGTCCAGCACCGGGTCCACAAATTCACCACGTTAATTGTGACATATGCAGAAAATTGTGCCTATCTTTTGCCGGCTTCAAAAGCCATTTGCGTAAATGTGCAAAACCTAGTGTGCACCGAATAATGTCACTGTAAACAAAACTGATCGGGTATGCCAATTCTGTGGCAAAATTTGTCGCAGTTTGGCTGGCCTGAAGAGTCACCTGCGAATACATAGAATTTGAGGGGGGTGAGGACATGAAATAAAGGAGGTGGTCACGCTCGAAACCGAGAGGACAGCCATGATATATATATATATATATATATACGAAGAAATATACTTTTAAGGCGTATATTTCTTCATATATATATATATATATATATATATATATATATATATATATATATATGTATATTTCTTCATATATATATATATATATATATGTATATATATATATATATATATATATATATATATATATATATATTTATGAAGAAATATAAATATACTCGTGCTATATTTAGGGATAAAATGCTTGATATCAGTGATAGATATATATATATATATATATATATATATATATATATATATATATATATAAAAGTGAATATAGAAGTCAACACTCAGAGGCACAGGCTGTTTCATGCTAAACGCAAACGTCAGCCCGCGAGTGTTGGATTTATTCTCGGCTATTTATATATATGGGTCACTGGTGCATTGTGGGTAATCCATTCTGGCCGTTATTTTGGCGGGAGTGGCTTGTTTATTTATTTGGTTAATTTATTTTACACACACACACACACACACACACACACACACACACACACACACACACACACACACACACACACACACACATATATATATATATATATATATATATATATATATATATATCAGATGGGATGGTTATGTCTTACGAATGACTGGGGGCCATTCCCTCAAGGTACTTTTATACCGTCAGCCTCAGGATGGTGAGCGTAATATAGGCAGATCATTACACAGATATAAAGACAAACTGATGTATAATTCTAAGTCTGTTAACGTACTTCTTACTTCTTTTGAAACCATAGCTGCTGACCGTTGAAAACGGAAGTCATTTTTTCTTTAAGGTCTAAAGTGATTTCTTGTTCTAAGAACGTACTAGTATTAAGATTCGAACAGAACGTCCAGGCTGGTCTGCTTTAAATCCTGTCATCTACACTAAATGTCGCTTTATGTTTAAACCAGCAGGTGGACTGAAGCGTCATTTAAGGCTTAAACATAAAAATTAAGCTGAAAACAAAGTTGAACTTTCATCTATCATCATATATGTAAAGATGTAATTTAATTACAAGAGAGAAAAATATTTCACAATTTATCCGACAGAAAAGATGGCCGCTCTATTTTTCTGATAGTCTGTATACATCAAAAATTAGTTTTATGCCTGGTGCAAGATCCGTAATGATGAACTCTATCATTTAGCTCTAGCAATAAATAATCAAATCCATTTTTAATGCATTTTTCTATATAGCTCTTCCACTAATGACTGATCAGTGTATTATTACAAGTTTCATAGCAACCAACTTCATTGACGCCTGACTGTCTTTGATTTCATTCAGTATGGCATATAAACGCCCGACATAACTACTTTCCTGCGTTCGGGCTAATCTCTCTCTCTCTCTATCTGTCTGCCTCTCTCTCGGTATTTAATATCTGTCTGCCAAGGCCGAGTTTTTCTCGTAGGCTGTCTCCAGAACCCGCCTAGACGGGTTCAGGGTCTTGTTTACCTCTCCCCGGACGAAACCTTGCCCTTCGGCAAAGCTTCGTCCGGGTTCCTCACTGGCAAAGCAGAGAGTTCTAGACGTCGAGACTGTATCTCGACGGATCTCTGCCTCTCTTTCTCTGTCTCCAGATCTCTCTGTTTAGATCTATCTATCTATCTATCTATCTATCTATCTATCTATCTATCTATCTATCTCAGTCTGTTCAGATCTATCTATCCCACTCTCTTCATTATCTATCTATCTATCTATCTATCTATCTATCTATCTATCTATCTATCTATCTCAGTCTGTTCAGATCTATATATCCCACTCTCTTCATTATCTATCTATCTATCTATCTATCTATCTATCTATCTATCTATCTATCTATCTATCTATCTATCTATCTCCTCACGGTGCAATTTCCTCGCGGTGAACTGATGACGGCAAACCTACCTATAAACATCCCAGGCTGATGGTTTCAATCGTCATGTAAGTGCATTATGCATTTATTTTTGTATATACATATTAGTCCATGTCTCTCTCTCACACACATATACGCACAAATTTACTTTTTCTAAACCGTCCCTTTTTATTTCTTATTCTTTGTTCATATCTGCTAGTTCCATTCATATGTATACTGAATCAAATAAAGACGCCAAAAATGAGTTCTGAGCCAACATTTAACTCTGTCTGGGTAGAAAAAGTAAGTAATGCCCAACAAGGCTGTAAACAACTAGGTGTTCTTTTTCTGTCTAGAAGAAAAATGAAAGTCATGATTAAAAATAAGGAAAACCTCACCGCTGTGTTTGCAGACCATCACCGAAAAAAGAGAGGAAAAACTGTCTTCGATTAGCGCCAAAATGGTAGCCATTTTGATCGCTTCCGCGTAGTGATCATCAGTCGTCAAATAGGAGAATCGATATATTATAAGAAAACGATTTTGTCTGACAAAAAAACGTTTTATGCTGAAGTTCCGTAGAAAATTGACAGTGCGCTTTTATGAAAGTGAAACAAAATTTACTAGCTGGATGTGGTTCAACTTTTCTCAATTGTTTGTGCCAGCGGTAAGAAAATGGCGCCGGCACTTACATATGGAAGAAAAAGGAAAAAGGTGTAGAAAGAAAAGAAAGGAGTGAAAGAAAGGGAAGCAAAAGAAAAAAAAACCCGTGGAGAATGAAGGCAAGAGAGAGAGAGAGAGAGAGAGAGAGAGAGGGGAGAGAGAGAGAGAGAATGAAAGTAAAAGTGAAAAAGTGAAAGTGAAAGTGAAAGTGAAAAATAATGTGTAAGACTGAGTGAATGATTAAGAAGCGAAAAAGAAAGATATTGCAATGAAAGAGAATAGCGCGAGAAAGAAAAAGAAAAAATGAACTGAAATAAAGATTAAAATCAAGTGAATGTAACACTTTGAGAAGAAGAAAAAAACACGAAAAATATGTTGGTGCAATGGCCCAAGAAGAAAAAGGAAATACGAAAAAGAGACAAATAAATGAAATAAAGAGCAAGCCAAATGAATGAATAATTAAGTAAAGAGGAAGAAGAACAAAAGTAAGTGGAAGAAAAAGAAATGGCTATGATTAGCAAAGAAAGAAGAAAAAGGAGACGTTTCAATAATAAAGAAAAAATGAAAGAGATAAAGAAAGAGAGAAAAACAACGTAAAAAGAAAATGAACAATGAGACCGAATAAAAGATTTAAAAAAGTAGAAAAGAAGAAAAAGAAGAAAAGACAAGGGAAAATAGCAATAATCCCGAAAGAAAAAACGCGGGAAAGATAAGAGAAAGAAAATGAAAGGGTGAAACAGTGAGTAAGACCATCAGAATGATATATTAAGATGGGGTCGATAAATAGGAGAGGAGAAGGAAGAAAAAAAAAAGAATTTGAAATGTTAAAAATACACTAGAATGAGGAAAATAATAGAAGAGTAATTCGTTTTTTTACGGCTTATCATACTTCGGCAGTTTAATTAAAGCCAGCAAATACTTTTAGACTTACTATTTAATCGATAGTTAGGGAGTGAAGGAGTAGATTCATACATTTCCCAAGGGTAATTGGGCGTAAGTGAATATAACGAACCCAGCGGGAATTGAAACTAGGCTCTCCGATTAACAATTCCGAGCCACCCGCACATTTTAGCTAACAACTTATTATTCCCAAACAGTCACCCGTCAAGCTACTGGCCGGGCTCAACGTTGCTTAACTTCGATGATCAATGGGGGAACCGGTTTTTCAACGTGATGTGGCCGCCACCGAAAAGAAAGACAGAACGAATGGAATAGTTAAATCATTTGACCAACTGAATTCAAAAAGAAAAAGAGGAAGATTATGATTATGATTATGATGATAATGATGATGATGGTGAATCAGGAAAAATACGTGAATGGGAGGAAAGAAGAAGAGAATGGTGAAGAAGAACAGAAATGAAAAAAAAACAACAAAAAAACAAGATGACTAAGAATGCGCCATGACCATAAAAGAAAGAGAAACGTTTTCAGAGGAAATAAATGACAAATGACAAATGAAGACCTGCAAACTGAAACCCTACTAACTGTCATGGTACCATGAAGTCCTGCAAACTGTCATGGTACCATGAAACCCTTCGAACTGTCATGGTACCATGAAGCCCTGCACACTGTCGTGGCACGATGAAACCCTGCAAACTATTTATAGTCATGCCAGTATAGTAACAAGTCTTGGTATTGATGATAGGAAGAAAACAAAGCGAATGTTAGATTCATGCCTTTCTAAATGATGCCAACTGGTAATTAAACACTGTTCAACTTTGATTGCTGGTTTAATAACCCTGACGCTATCTCACATGGCAGGATAATTTAAAGAGTGAAATGATGAAGGCATCCACATAGAAGAAGAAATAAGAAGATAAAAAAATAGAACAGAAAATTCTAAAAGAACATTAAAGAGACATGAAAAGTTCCCGAAGACAAAAGACAATATTCGAAAAATAAGAGAGAAAGCATACAAATATTGGTTAGAAAGAGTCGTTAGCTCAGCTCCTGCCAGACACGCTGTAGCCTGTCTTGCGTAACATTCTCCAGCACATCTGCTGAAATTCTTCTACACTTGTTAGAAGATGGGAATACAGATCTGTCCTTTAACATAGCCCCATAGAAAAAGGTGTCAAGTCAGGTAAACGTAGTGGCCATTTCAACAGCATATTATCATTACCACGGGCAGGTCAAATCCATCTTCCTGGTAGATTCCCATTTAGACAAGTCCGCACAGTTAACTTAGTTTTTACACATGTTGTTAAAATTTGAGTTTATCTGAGAGAGAAATTGGGTCTGTTATTATTCAATAGAATGATGTAAATTTTGGGGTAAATCCTATATATATATATATATATATATATATATAGATATATAATTTATTTTAAAATATTACCACAAAAACATGTAAGAATCGCTACACAATTGCAGTCGTATTTCAACGCATTATGATGCGTCTCCTCAGGCTAATGGAACTAATTAATTTAGGTTCAAAAACAAAATACATCCACGTCTTATGAAAAAAGATAAGACTTGTGGGCTCTACTATATATTGAGCCGTCTTTTGAATGTCACGAACGTTGGAAGTTTACTCTATTCATTCTCATCTTTTTTATATATATATATATATATATATATATATATATATATATATAGTAAGGCCTTACTTTCCCTGACGATCCGTTTAGGGTGAAACCAAGGTAGGTTTGTCTGGCTCACTAGGTGTATCTACGTCTGCTCTACGGTTGTATTGAGCGCTTTTGTTAGTTGTTACTCGTATCGGGGTTTTTTCTTTGGGCTTCAGACCTGCATCTGTGCGATTTTTTTGTCGGCAGAAGTTAATGTTTGTAGCTCTTTCTTTTTTTAAAACCTTTTTTTCCCTCGAGATTGATTTGATTATTAGTAAATCAAAAATTCGAGGGTTTTTCGAAACGAGTCTATAATTATATATATATATATATATATATATATATATATATATATATATATATATATATTCAGTTGTTTGGATATGAATTTGTAACCCTGGGTTTCCCGCTTTTACGATCATCAGATAAACTGGTTTATTTTTTTTTAAATGGATCTATTTATTCTTATAAACAAGATGATCGCAAATGGGTTACAAACTCATATCCGTATAACTGAATGTGTTAGCACTATCATAGATATTGATCACTTTCCACTAATTACCGCATATATATATATATATATATATATATATATATATATATATATATAAGATGTATTGAGGCAGCAAGTATTCATCAACCGACAAAGTCTGTATACTTACATGATCGCTGTTATATTCAGCACATCTTGCCTAAAGTGGTTCGTAGATGAAATTTGGTACGATTCACTCTTCATGAGCTTTCAGTAATTGACGGGCGTTTTTTCTCATTTTTCTTTGTCTTTATACTAAGTTTGTTTTATGTTCTACTTACCGAAAATTTCTGTTTTGGAGGTCGAAAAATGAGATGTTGCAGTCAATTGCTGAAACATCCTGAAGATTGAAAAATTACAAAAAATGTTTGTACATTACTCAAGAGTTGAGGAGATGAATATAACATCAAACAGTGATGAGGTAAATTTTATATTTGTATTAATTCTAATGTTGCTGTATCTCTTATATCGAGTACTTTACTGTAAAGATTGCTTGCCTTAAATGTCCTATCTTTCACTGACAGTTTTCACAATATTATCTCTATTATTTATTTTTTATTATGTATTTCAAATTTGTGAATGAGATTATGTATATCAGGATTAATATTATTAATAACGTTTTATTATTTTGTTAAATAATTTTAGAATAATTTATTATCAAGAACTCTCTATTTTCATTTTAGTAAACAATATTTTCTGACTAAATTGTGGTGGTTTTTGATCCTTGGAATTCGAATAAGTTTAAACAATGAAATAATTTATACATAAATAGTGAATGTTTCACAAATTAAATATACTACGATGGCCGACATATCTTTGAAGTGATTTATAAACGAAAAATTCATAGACACCTCAGAAAAATTAATAAGTATTTTTAGGAAATATAGATATTCAAGATTGTCCGCTAAGTTGATCGCCATTAATTCACTACGTGGAAAATTTAGCGCGAATGTTCCCCGTGAGAAAAATTCAGCTCGATGGAAGTTCATCCAAAAAGTATAAAAATTAAAGATATTTTTTAATGGCTTGTAATTTTATAGATTAACGCAACTAAAACAGTTTTGAAATAAGGTAAAATAATTAATAACTGACATTATGTGATATCTCTCTCAAGTAGTCAGGGAGTTAAGCCATTATGGAAAATTCTAGATTCAGATTACACACCAACTTCATTGTTTTTTTTTCTGATATAATTGAAAAAGCACACAAGCGTGTCCAAAAAGTTCCGATTTTAAAATCTTTCTCTGTGTGTTTCGGTTTAAGCCTTATTAATAACTTTTTATTATTTTGTTAAATAACAATAAAAAAAATCATACATGTATTTATTATTGACAATATTTTTATCATTTTCTGCCTTTTGATTCCTCGAATTTCATTAACCAGCCTATTAAATCACCACTCACACAAAGATACATCTCTCTCTCTCTCTCTATATATATATATATATATATATATATATATATATATATATATCTATATATATAATTGCATTGAATAATATGGACATATTGTGTCTATTTGTTATTAAACTGATCCTTTCCAGTTCTCTAAGCAGTTTCTTGATTTTAAGATGAAATTCATCAAGGAAGGCATCGTAGGTTTTTGGAACCCAAGAAAACTAATTGAATGATACATGTTTGAATGAAGGTATGCTGCCTAAATATACATACATGCATATATACATATATATATATATATATATATATATATATGTGTGTGTGTGTGTGTGTGTGTGTGTGTGTATGTATGTATGCATGTGTGTACGTATGTATGTAGATTTAATATGTAGATTTAATATATATATATATATATATATATATATATATATATATATATATATATATTACGATAAACGTGCAATCAATTTACAAATACATGAATTATTCACACAAAACTAATCCAAAGGTTAATGCTTTAAATGGCGAGACATCCATCATCGCAAACAATTCAAATAGTATACAAAAACCTCCAGATCCGTTATGAATGAATTGATCCTTGTTTATATAAATTTCTGCCGTATTAGTTGTTATTTTTACTACAAGCTTTCGTCTGTTCCTACAGACATCTTCAGGTATAGAATAGATGTTGTTCTTGGTTTTTTCTCTTAGTAATAAGAGGACAACGAAAATATATGTGTTGTTGTATCCGAAAATGCTATTGAAAATGAGTTATTGGTTTTGGAACGCGCCAAAGCAACGCTGAGTTTGATTTTAAATTTTTAAAGTGTTTGCGTTTATACCAAATATGGTGATGAACAAATTTTTTACTGGTAAATTTTTCTGTCAAAGTGGCATGGACTATATTGTTCAATAATTACAGTAATGTCGCACTTATTATCTAAAAGTCGCACTTGGATCAGTTATTTAAATTACGATAAACGTGCAATCAATTTACAAATATTCAAATACAAATTATTCACACAAAACTAATGCAAAGGTTAATGCTTTAAATGGCGAGACATCCATCATCGCAAACAATTCAAATAGTATACAAAAACCTCCAGATCCGTTATGAATGAATGAATGATATATATATATATATATATATATATATATATATATATAATTATTTATTCGAAAATTATTATTAAATATCAAATAAAAAATCACGACGAAAATAGCCATTTTGTTTCAATACATCTGGTGTCATATCAAATGATGGTGTTGAATGTATAATAAAGGGTTTCAAAAGGTTCAAACCAATCAAACACCCGGGGAAACGCTGTTACATAAGCTGGAATGACCAATCAAAATAGAAATATATGAGAATTCAAAAAACTTGACAACGAACTTTGGTTATAAAAATTATTTAATGCTTTAATGTTAGGGTGAGACTAAAACAGAATTTATTCTAGCTAATAAATATTAAATTATACTATGAAATTAAAAATTAAAAATTACCAATTTTAAATTTTAAATTCAATCAATATTAAGTTTAAAATTATTTAAAGAAAAAACTGAGGAAAAAATACATATGTTTTTCTATTTATTTTGCTTTTATTGAAATTAAGTTGGAATAAACGTTAAGATCTAATGCTGCTCTGAACTCCGTTACAACTTAGATACATTTGAAGTGAAGACATG